GTGCGCCGGGATGGTGGTGGTGCCGAAAAAAGCAGGTATTGTTCGCATTTGTGTGGATTTCACAAGGATGAATGAATCAGTATGCAGAGAAAAGTTTATCCTGCCTTCTGTCGAGCACACTCTGGGCATGCTAGCTGGCGCAACAGTATTCAGCAAATTGGACGCCAATATGGGCTTTTGGCAAGTACCGTTGACAAAAGAGTTTGCCAAATACACGACCTTCATCACGCCTTTTGGGCGCTACTATTTTAACCGGCTACCCTTTGGCATAGCTTCAGCCCCCGAGCACTTTCAAAGGATGATGATGACAGAAGTGACCGGTGGTCTAGAGGGGGTACTGTGTCACATGGATGACATCCTGGTCTGGGGACAGACACAGGACGAGCATAATATGCGGCTACAGGCGGTGCTAGAGAACGCACAAAAGGCCGGCATGGTCATGCCTTTTCTGGGCATGGTCAATCAGCTGGGCCGCTTCTTGCCTAACCTGGTTGAAAAAGACAAAGTGCTAAGAGACCTGCTGTCCAAGAAGAACCACTGGTACTGGGGGACGGAGCAGCAGGCCGCCTTTGATCAGTTAAAAACAGAGCTGTCATCCACACCAGTGCTCGCACTATACAACCCAAACAGTACACTAAAAATCTCTGCTGATGCCTCTTCATTTGGCCTGGGGGCCGTCCTGCTGCAGAAGAGCGATGCCAGGGGCATCCAGGTCAATGGCACCGACAGAGCAGCGCTATGCTCAAGTAGAGAAGGAGGCATTAGCTGCAACGTGGGCTTGTGAAAGGTTCAGCTGTTTTATCCTGGGAAGACCATTCGAGCTGGAAACTGACCATAAGCCGTTGGTGAGTCTGCTGGGCGGGAAGGCTCTGGATGACCTCCCATCAAGAATCCAAAGATTTAGGATGCGACTCATGAGGTACAATTATACAGTCAATCATGGTCCTGGCGACAGCCGACACCTTATCTCGTGATCCCATAAGAAACCGCAGGAACACACACAGATACAAGCCTACTAGAGGACACCAACATCTATGTAGACTCTGTCATCGGCAACATTCCTGCCAGTGGAGATTATCTGAGCAGCTTACGCGAGCACCTGAGGGCAGACGGCACATGCTCTGCACTGATGAAGTACTGCACAGACGGCTGGCCTGACAAAAGCCAACTGCGGGGAGAGCTGAGACATTACTGGCCCGAGAGAACAGTGCTGACTGTGCATGAGGGACTGCTGCTGCGGGGCACAAGGCTCGTCATCTCATTCACCTTACAAGGTGATGTGCTACACCTGGGGGTGTCAAAGTGCAGGGGCCGGGCCAAACAGACGGTATGGTGGCCAGGGCTCAGCAGCCAGCTGAATGACATGGTACTGAAATGTACCTACTAGTAGATTACTTCTCAAGGTATGTGGAAATTGCGCTGCTGTCACCCACAAGGTCCACAAATGTGGTGGTGCACCTGAAATCCATGTTTTCTCGTCATGGAATTTGTGAAGTTCTTTAAAGTGACAATGGGCCCCAGTTCTCTGGTAGCCATTTTAAAGCCTTTGCAGCAGAGTATGGCTTTGTGCACATCACAAGTAGCCCCAAGTTTTCCCAGAGCAATGGGGAGGCGGAACGCGCGGTACAAACCGTAAAAAACCTACTAACAAAGGCATCAGACCCGTATCTAGCATCGCTGGCTTACAGAGCAACCCCTCTACAGAATGGCTATAGTCCAGCGGAGCTGTTGATGGGGCGCTGCCTCCACACTACAGTTCCTGCCCTTCCAACCCTGCTGACTCCAGTTTTGCCTGACTACAACGCGCTGGAGGCTAAAGAAAGGGATAAGAGGGGGAAAGACGCAAAATACTTCAACAAGAGACACGGCGCGAAAAACCTGGAGCCGCTCGTACCTGGAGAGGATGAGTGGATCACTGATGCACGAGTCCAGGGCACAGTGATATCTACACACAACACCCCTCGCTCTTATATCGTCCAGGTGCCTCAGGGCACACTGAGGAGGAACCGGCATCACTTGGTGCCACTGCAGACCAACAGTGGGGTGGTCGACTTTGATGAGCCACTAAAGGAAGAACCAGATGCACCAGAGCCAACATCACCAGAACCAGCTCTACCATTGACAATATCTCCCAGTAGAGAGGGCCCCACCACAGAGATTGTGCGGACCAGGTGTGGGAGAGAGGTTAGAAAGCCGCAGAGACTTGATTGGTGATTTATTGATTAGTTGTTTGTAAAAAAAAAGGGACAGATCAGGGACAGGTCTTCCAGCAAAAGGGCAGAATAAACCCCTTAAGACCTGCAGAGACAAAGGTAGTCTACCCTTTGTTCTCAAAGAAAGGGAGATGTGGTATTATGGAATAATAGTGTAAAAAAATGCTTTTATTTTGAAAAGAAAAGGGCTGCTCCGGTTCTTGCCCGGATGTTAAGCACATCTTCGGCTTCATTGCCCATACAATACACTAACGTGTTTACCTGGTTTTCTTCCGATGTTGCGTTTAAATTGCTTGCGAGCTGAAAGCGGTCAAATCTCCTAAACCATTCTTGAGGCTTGGTAAAATCAAATGGCTCTGGAGGTTGTATTGTGAACGTAGCAGTTGGTGTAGATTGCGACATATCTGCTGGCTCGTCTCCTATTTCTCGCCAAAACGATCGCTTAGTTTTCCTTTCCTTTTCCCTTCTCCGCTCACAAGTCGCCCACTTTTGACACCATGTCACGTTATTTGTAAAGAAACAAAAGAGGTTCGTACAACGACGTATTTGGAGCTTGTCTTTATTTAGCCACCAGCACATTAACATCCGGGCAAGAACCGGAACAGCCCTTTTCTTTTCAAAATAAAAGCATTCTTTTACACTATTATTCCATAATACCACAGCAACATGACATTAGCCTAATACAAAATATTTCCATATGTGGCTCTTTCCTCCTTTGTCAACAAGTGGATTCAGAGCCACTGCATTAGCAGCGCTGCCGGTCGCCATGTCTCAGTATTTTTATAAAGAGGACGCAACCCTGCACCTTTCGGACAGCGCATCAAGAACCTTCGGTACTACCGTTACTTTAGAAAAGCTTGTACCATTACAGTTTCATTTTTTTAGTACCAACTTGGTACCGAAGTACCGGGTCTTTTGACAACACTAGTTTAATTTAGTTTGAAGTTTAAAGTAGATAGATAGATGAGTTTATTAGTTTAAATGAGTCTCAATGGCTCATATAGTATATAGAATGGCAGTTTGATTGAGTCTAGGGCTGCGTCCCAATACCTCCCCTTACCCTAGATTTCTGCCCTAACCCTTGTTTTTGCGCGTTCTCGTGTAGGGGTAGGGTGTCCCAATACTCCAAAGAGCAAGGGGAGTGCTATTCTCCCCTTAAAATCAACCCTCAAAACATAGTGCGGTCCGATGCAGGCTTAAAACGAAGTGGAAGATGAAATTACCCAGGATACCTTGCGAACTCAGCGAGCCGGTCAAATTTTTCAACTAAGATGGCGGACACCGCTGGAAAGGAACAATTTTATTTTAAGTATATTTTCGCAAATACGCATGTTAAAATGTCGAAATATGTTGGAATATGTTAGTTTGATGCACATCCAATGGACTGTTGAGTTTTCAACACTAATGTTAGAAAATATTTCACGAAGCTATCTGACGATGTTCATATGATATCTGCCGAGTGCTTCAAAAGCAAATCAAATATACATCTGATCTGGGTAAGTTAGTTAATCTAATTTTATTTTCGATTTTGGCTTCCAAGGATTATAAAAAGAAGATATGTGAGGTAAAATTATTCAAAACTAGCCACGTTCGTCTAGCGCATCATCTTCCCTTCACAGCGCGCTGTCATTTCTCTCTAAACCCAAACCTAACGTCAGAATCAGCACTAAGCACAATCGGTGATTGTTGTAAAGTGCAGTGTCTGCGGTTTCTAAATTGCGGGACGTTGGTGGTAAAAACAGCTACTAAAAGCACAATGATCCGCGCAAGAGACGTTGCCCCGGTTCCCATGGCGGCGCGCGCGCGTTCGGAAACGGATTGCAACTAACGTTAGACAAGCAAACTTTGGGTTTTGTGTGCGCTTCTAAACGATCAGACACAAACAAATATATGGCAAAATTACCGGAAATGCGTCTTCTATATTCCACATGTCTTCTCTGTTGATTCATCAGATGTAGATAAACGAAAACAGCCCACACAACAGGCAACACAACAACTGGAACCGGCAATTTTATGAATGAAAATAGTAGTAGAAGTAGTAGACACTTTGACGCTGCGCGTGACGTATTGAGGATTGCCGCGCTAATTTGCATATAGTGGTGTCCCATTTCATAGGGAAAGATCTTCAACTCCACTTCCCTCGTTGAGGGGACTTTACTTTCGAGGGCACTCAAAACCAAGTGGAAGTTTTAAGGGGGGAGAAATGGGACAGGGCCTAAGTCTTCAGGGAGTTTAGATTAGAATTTTTGACAGTTGGGGAGTTTGAAAATCTGAACATTCCATCAATGGGAGTTTTTCTTAAAGAACAATAGTGAACCCTTCCCTTTGGCAAGCACCACTAACGAGAAGAAAAATAATTTGGGGCAAGGCACTGCAAGCACAGCAAACAACACAGGGAACAGTCATGAAATCTAAGGCACATTATGAGAGATACCACGTTTACACCCCAAATGATGGAATTAATCCAAAGTACAAACTGTAGGTATAAACTAAATTACCCAGTTCAATCAGATTTACTGAATAGATAAAATACAATTTTGTCTCACTACATACATGTACAGTTTGTATCAAGGATGACAGATGTCTTTTTTTATTTGCATCCATTGTAATGTAAATTTCTACTGTAACAGAGGAGGAGTCTGAGAATCTGACAGATATATAAAGAGTGTTTGTGTTGGACTGAACGACACAAACACTGAGTTACTGTTTTATTCTTCATTTACTGAACAGAACATTCAGACATTTAGATTGAAAAAATGTAAATGTTTCTGTGATTTTTGTCTAGATAAATCAGATCTCTGCTGTGATCTACTGAGGAGAGACTGAAGATGGCAGTAAGTTCATCAACAACTCTTCATTTCTAGAGAGGGTTTTCAGTGTGATGTTCATCTCTTTCTCTCTCTGTCTCGTGTAGTTGGTGTTTTTGGCGGTTCTTCTCTTTGTTGTTCTGGTGAGCGGGTGCAGTCAGGATGGAGACATGCCGGTCGACTGTTCTGACCTTTATAAAGCAGGACAAAAGCTCAGTGGGATTTACTCCATCTATCCTGCAGGTGACATTCCTGTCTGGGTTTACTGTCACATGATCTCAGATGGGAAAGATGAAGACAACGGAGGATGGACGGTACGAATGTGACTTTAGATCAGCAAACACACATCAGAACACACATTATGAATCATATATCCTATATAAACCCATCACAGGTGTTTCAGAGGAGAATGGACGGCAGTGTGAATTTCTATCGGCCGTGGAATCAGTACAAGAGAGGATTCGGGAATGTGGAGAGCGAATACTGGCTGGGTAAGATCTCACAGCGTGTGTCCGTTTGTGTGGATGATCATGTGTTTGGTTGAACATGTTCTTCATGTGTGTGTGTGTGTGTGTGTGAACAGGGCTGGAGAACATGTACCAGCTGACGCGTAAGAAGAAGTACATGCTGAGAGTGGATCTGGAGGACTTTGAAGGAAGGAAGGGTTTTGCTCAGTACTCGTCCTTCTCTGTGGATTGTGAATCTGACGGGTATAAACTGCATGTTTCAGGGTTCAAGGATGGAGGAGCAGGTAGGACACTTTCATTCACATAAAAAAAAAATCACACTCAGTTGAGTAAATGTGCACCTGATATCATCAATGATGCTTTAACTCTCTGCAGGCGACTCTTTATCTGTCCAAAATGAACAGAAGTTCACCACCTTTGACAAAGACCAAGACCCCTATGAGAATAACTGTGCCAAACTGTATCTCGGGGCATTTTGGTATGCAGCCTGTCACTATACAAACCCCAACGGTGTGTATTTATGGGGGGAAGATCCCACCCATTACGCCATTGGTGTTGTTTGGTCAACCTGGAAGAATTACGCTGTCAGTATGAAATCCATCAGCATGAAGATCAAATGTGTGTCTTAGACATTTGAAGAAACATTACAGTTTCCCAGAAACAAACAACTAAACAATCAAATTAAGGTTTTGGATTTCCTTTCCTCTTAAAGGAGAACTCCGGCGCAAAATGAACCTTTGGTCTAATAAAACATTGGTACCTAGTCAACCGTTCTCTGAGATTTGTTTTCATGATAATCGAATGTAAAGAGTTTTATCTCTAAAAACTGTTTAGCGTATAACACTAGTAATGGGGGCATTTAATAAGTAAAAAGAAATCGCTAGTTTATACCACTAACAAGGCTCAAAATAGCCCCACACGAACACAGTGACATAATGAGGGTCCCTACATGCAAAACGAAGCATTGAGAACTGTGTAAGTGTACAGACCGTTTAATAAGAAGATAAAGATAAAGACAGTCCACTTCGTGTATACAGACAGGAGCCATCTTTGGTAAACAGTCTCGACTAATCAAACCACGAACGCCATTCATACAGTTCAGCTCACTTAGCACGTCGTTCGTGGTTTGATTAGTCGAGACTGTTTACCAAAGATGGCTCCTGTCTGTATACACGAAGTGGACTGTCTTTATCTTTATCTTCTTATTAAACGGTCTGTACACTTACACAGTTCTCAATGCTTCGTTTTGCATGTAGGGACCCTCATTATGTCACTGTGTTCGTGTGGGGCTATTTTGAGCCTTGTTAGTGGTATTAACTAGCGATTTCTTTTTACTTATCATATGCCCCCATTACTAGCGTTATACGCTAAACAGTTTTTAGAGATAAAACTCTTTACATTCGATTATCATGAAAACAAATCTCAGAGAACGGTTGACTAGGTACCAATGTTTTATTAGACCAAAGGTTCATTTTGCGCCGGAGTTCTCCTTTAATTGTGAAACTTGGTAAATCATGGTATATATGGTAACTTGGGATATATGGCTGTTGTTTTGTGTACTCTCGTCAATTATTTTCATTTTTATTTGGGGTCACTTTTGTATTGTTCATGAGACAACAAATAAAGATAAGAGAAATGACTGGTACTGGCGTCTTTATTCCACGTAGCACACACATCAAATCTCCATTACAACTTCTCTCCTTTGCAAATGCACTTCGTCTTATACAACACATTACTGCCATCTGCTGGAGTCAATCAGTACTCTTCATATAACAGCTGTACTCATTACACCTCTTTTCCTTTTTTTTTTTTTTTTTTTACAATATTACATAGAATTTTCACATAATTACCAACACTTTACTATATAACACTCGATTTATCAATCTTTTTTTTTTTTTTTTTTTTACAAACTATAAGTCCATTCGAACAGGTGCTTTTCAAACTCGATTAGATCTCCGTAAGACAGGAATGTCCGTCTTTGGCACAGATGAATCAAGTTCAGAGTAAAGCATATCCGAAGAGAACATTTCAAGACGTTGCCGATCCACAGAGGGCATTTCACAAGACTGCATTTCTGGGGACACCAGCTCCAAGGTTGTTCAACCAAATGACATTCTCTGCAGTCTTAAGCAAACTCTGTCGATTTCTCCGTAAGGTCTGCCCATCTACTGTTTGAACAAGATATGATATCTTGGGTTTACCCCTTTTAGGACTGTAGCTTTCTTTCTCCATCCAGTAGGCTCCGCAACTCTACATCTCGTTCAGAAAGAGGTTTTAGTTGCCGACTTCCCTTGTCATAATATTTCTTTCAACTGGAATGTCACAAATTAATATTCATGAGGATGAATGAAAGTGTCCGACCAGCTCCTCCATCCTTGAACCCTGAAACATGCAGTCTATACCCGTCAGATTCAGGATCCACAGAGAAGGACGAGTACAGAGCAAAACCCTTCCTTCCTTCAAAGTCCTCCAGATCCACTCTCAGCATGTACTTTCTGTTACGTGTCAGCTGATACATGTTCTCCAGCCCTGTACACACACACACACACACACACACACACAAATGGACATGAACATCAAGTATGGGATATGTACAATCAGCCGGTATTTGGACACGACCTGAAGTGTAGAGGTCTTTAATCTTCCTGAAGGGGCTTATTTTGAGATAACAACTGGCTGAGTGTGCGTTTATTATATGCCTAGTTACCACACAAGTAAATCATTGGATATGAAATATTACCCCACTTGTAAAGCTTCAGCAAAGAAAAACTGTTTCTAGCAATCAGCTTTGAGCCAAGACAGATGAACAAGTCCAAACTAGGCGGACATTAAGAGTCCTACCACTGATTACACGCCTTATCACCACACACCGTAAATGTTGACATTAAATATTGATTTGAGTTGAAACTGTTTTAAAATCTTACCTATTCATGAAAATGTTCAAAACAGCTTAAAATTACTGTCCTTAGACTTCACAGTGTGATAGAAAAGACTGAAAACTGCAGTGGATTCAGAAACTGAGATATTAAAATAACAAAAACGACGCATCTTACCCAGCCAGTATTCGCTCTCCACATTCCCGAATCCTCTCTTGTACTGATTCCACGGCCGATAGAAATTCACACTGCCGTCCATTCTCCTCTGAATCACCTGTGATGGGTTTATATAGAATATATGATTCATAATGTGTGTTCTGATGTGTGTTTGATGATCTAAAGTCACATTCGTACCGTCCATCCTCCGTTGTCTTCATCTTTCCCATCTGAGGTCATGTGACAGTAAACCCAGACAGGAACGTCTCCTGCTGGATAGATGGTGTAAATCCCACTGACTGTTTCTCCTGAGTTGTAGATGTCAGAACAGTCGAATGGCATGAATTTACAGTCACAGCTCAATACAGCCAGGAGAAGAAACGCCCAAAACACCTTCATCTACAGGAGACAGAAAGAAAGAGATGAACATCACACCGACATCAAGGTGGAACCGTCTCTAAAAATGTGATTGGCGCAATGAAACTAAAGAACTTACTGCCATCTACTCAATCTCTCCTCAGCAGTTTCACAGCAAATATCTAAAAATGTGTAAAAAATTGTAAGAACTTCTGAATGCCCTGCCTGTCTATGTTAAATGTTGGAGAATTAAACAGTAACTCACCGTTTGTGTTCTTCAGTCTTTGATGGCGCAAACAGTCCTTAAATATCTGATTTTTGAGCTCCTCCTCTGTATGTTAGTGTCAAAGTCCGTTTGTGGCAATCTTGGAAAAACCCTCCGGCAGCTGTTTTCACATTTAGGAAACATCCAAAATGTTACGGTACGGCGATTCCCTGATCCTATATGAAGCAGAGTACTTGTCTGATTTCAAAGATGTGTATGATCATTCATTTTACTGCTGTAAAAATAAGACCACTGAAAAACTCAAATGACAACAAACATGATATATCAAATCACTTTAATTCACACAGAACATCGCAAAGATGTGTGTTTGGAGCAGTTTCGTGTTTGCATGACGCGGACTTACTAAATCCTTATCTTGAGCAAAATAAGCAAGCTGACATTCAGTACAATCTATATGTTTTATGTAGAATACATACAAATGTCATTTACGTCTTTTAGTTTGTCAAGAGATTGAAAGCATCGTTTTGAAGAGTGCGCGTTTGCGAACGAGCTCTAGTGCGCAAGAACGAGCCTTATTGAATCTGGAAACAAAGCAAAATAACTGAGAAACATTAGTCCTCTGATGCCATGTCCGTAATTTATAGCAAAACATCTAGCATTAACTCAATCTCAAACAGAAGTTAATTACTCCACCATGTGCGTGACATCATAGACCAACATGGTTGAACGACCACTTTGCGGCAATATGGTTTTGGGAAACAGTCGTGACAAGCTAGTTGACTTCTTCAACGATGCATCGTACTATAGTAGTGAAGCAGCGAGTTACGTCGTTGTATGGGAAGCAGCAGCAGAGCAAAAGTTTCCTATAACATGAGCATCCAGAAGAGTTTTGAGGACAAGATCATTCATCTTGGGTCATCACTGTGTTCGAGACAAAAAACAGCAGTCTTGATGTTAAGAGTATCTCCAACCCGCCAGGAGTGTCAAGACTGTTATATTAGACTTCTGTTCATTGGCTGTTCAGTTCATAACTTCTGCACTGGCCTCAAACATTATTACCCAACTAAATGAATATGCATGATGTAATCTTAAACTAAATCTGGCCAAAATTAAGATGTTTGGGTCATTTAAAAGGGTTCACCCGCACAAACCTTCAGGAAAGTTTGCACCGCTCTCTATATATCTTCTAACTACCTGACTTTTCTTTGGCACAGACAAACTGTTTTCAACAAACCATCTGTTGAAAAGGTAAATGTTATCCAATCTGTGAGTTATCCGAACACTACTTCAGACTAAAACCCTGGCCTTTTAGCCACACTCAACCCACAGGTCTGTCAAATATGTCTAGTTTTGAGATCTATTTAAAGAAAAGGGCATGCATTGTATAAGTTTACTGAACGTTTTTGAAGAAAGGCCTAATATTAGTAACACTATAGTAAAATCAAAACATTAGAATTGACCAAAATAAAATGTGCAACACCAACAGCCAACATATATTTCAAAATATTGCTCAGTTACACAAAGGAAAGAGAAAAGAACATCTTAAAATGTCATAAAAAAGATAAAAAGTCCAATGTTTCCCCTTCAGGAGCACTGTAATGTCTCTAAGACACACGTTTGATCTTCATGCTGATGGATTTCATACTGACAGCGTAATTCTTCCAGGTTGACCAAACAACACCAATGGCGAAATGGGTGTCGTCTTCTCCCCATAAATACACACCGTTGGGGTTTGTAGTGTGACAGGCTGTGTACCAAAATGCCCCGAGATACTGTTTGGCACAGTTCTTCTCATAAGTGTCTTGGTCTTTGTCAAAGGTGGAGAACTTGTATCCATTATGGCCAGATAAAGAGTCGCCTGTAGAGAGTTAAAGCATCATTAAGAACAATAACTCAACTAGAATGAGTTTTCATGAGAATGAATGAAAGTGTCCTACCTGCTCCTCCATCAGTGAACCCTGACACATGCAGCTGATATCCGACACATTCACAATCCACAGAGAAGGACGAGTACAGAGCAAAACCCTTCCTTCCTTCAAAGTCCTCCAGATCCACTCTCAGCATGTACTTTCTGTTACGCGTCAGCTGGTACATGTTCTCCAGCCCTGTTCACACACACACACACACACGGACATGAACATCAAGTATGGGATATGTACAATCAGCCAGTATTTATCACAAAATAAACCCTGACATCTTGATTAGGACACGACCTGAAGTGTAGAGGTCTTTAATCTTCCTGAAGGGGCTTATTTTGAGATAACAACTGGCTGAGTGTGCGTTTATTATATGCCTAGTTACCACACAAGTAAATCATTGGATATGAAATATTACCCCACTTGTAAAGCTTCCGCAAAGAAAAACAGTTTCTAGCAAGCAGCGTTGAGCCAAGACAGAAGAACAAGTCCAAACTAGGCGGACATTAAGAGTCCTACCACTGATCACACGCCTTATCACCACATACAGTAAATGTTGACATTAAATTAGGGATGTCCTGATCCGATCACGCGATCGGAAATCGGGCCCGATCACGTGGTTTCAGACTCGATCGGAATCGGACGTTACCTCCCGATCAGGACTCGGATAAATGTGAATTAGGGGTGTAACGGCACATGTATTCGTAATTATTGAACCGTTTCGGTTCGAGGCTTCCGCTTCGGTACACATACAAACCGAACGATTCCTAGGACCATTTTTCCTGCAGACAAAATCCGCGCTGGCGCGATCACCACAACGTTACGCAACATCAAATGGCAAACGTAATGAAAGCGGAACGAAACTGCGCTACTCATTATATTGTGCTTAACGGGCCATTTATCAGTTCGGACCAGCAACATCTGTGCAGCGCGAGATAAGCGAAGAGATGCAGTGAAGAAAACATTTGAAGTAATAACATCGCTGCGAGATCTAGTGAGAAGCATTCAAATTTCTCCGTTATTAACCGTAGATCTCTATTAGATCAAACAGCGCTGACGTGGGAACCAGGAGAAACATTGTGCCGTGAATGAACATGGATTTAATGTTGCACTTCAAAACTCAAATATTATATAAATATATATTTAAATGTTATTTGTGATTATGGTAAAAAAAAAAAGGTAAAATGGACTGCATTTTTATAACGCTTTCACAGACCCAATGACCACCAAAGCACTTTACAATTTGCCTCACATTCACCCATTCATTCACTCATTCATACACCGAAGGCGGTGTCAGCCATGCAAGGCGCCATCCAGCTCGTCGGGAGCAGCTGGGGTTAGGTGTCTCACACACACACACACACAGCTGGGGTTAGGTGTCTTGCTCATGGACACCTCGACACTTGGTCAGGTGGAACCGGGGATTGAACCTCCAACCTTCCGGTTTGTAGACAACCTACATGAACCACTGAGCCACTGCCACCCCCAAAACATTATTTGTTCATCCTTCAAAGATGACCCCCATTTATAAACCTGAAATTTTCAAGATGTAGGAAAACTCAAACTTATTTAAAAATATTTTTTCTTCTTATAAATAGGAAATTTCTCTGGCATTTCTTTCTTTTTGCTGTATCGTATCGAACCACGAATTTTGTGAACTGTTACACCCCTAATGTATATATATATTCTCATTATTTTTTTAATACACTTTTAAAACACTTTTTCTTTTTTGTTTACATGCCTGCCGGGTATTTTAAGTTGAGGTGCTATTTGTTTTTTATATTAGACTTTTTATATATTTACTGTTGCACTAAAGTCCAAAAGTGAAGATTTTATGTTATTTATTACTTGATTGTTCAAGCTACCTCACAGAAGTGCTCTGTTTGTTAACAGAGTTGTTGAATGTTAAAATAAGGTGAATTAAATAAAAAATAAGGAACATCCTGGATCTGTTTTTTCGCTCTTTATTATTTTTTATGTATTATAGAAGTATCGGATCGGGACTCGGTATCGGTAGATACTCAAAATCAAATGACTCGGACTCATCTGATCGTGACATCCCTACTTTAAATATTGATTTGAGTTGAAACTGTTTAAAATCTTACCTATTCATGAAAATATTCAAAACAGCTTAAAATTACTGTCCTTAGACTTCAGTGTGATAGAAAAGACTGAAAACTGCAGTGGATTCAGAAACTCAGATATTAAGATAACAAAAACGACGCATCTTACCCAGCCAGTATTCGCTCTCCACATTCCCGAATCCTCTCTTGTACTGATTCCACGGCCGATAGAAATTCACACTGCCGTCCATTCTCCTCTGAATCACCTGTGATGGGTTTATATAGGATATATGATTCATAAGGTGTGTTCTGATGTGTGTTTGATGATCTACAGTCACATTCGTACCGTCCATCCTCCTTTGTCTTCATCTTTCCCATCTGAGATCATGTGACAGTAAACCCAGACAGGAACGTCTCCTGCTGGATAGATGGAGTAAATCCCACTGACGTTGTGTCCCGCTTTATAGACATCAGAACAGTCGACCGGCATGTGTACATGATCGCACTCACAGCCCAATAAAACAGGGATAAGAGCCGCCAGCAATAACATCTGCACAAGAGAGAGAAGAGGTGAATATCAGTCTGAAATGAAGGTGGAAACCATCTTAAAGAATGTGACTGACAAAAAGGAAACAGATAAACTTACTGCCATCTTCTCAATGTCCTCAGTAGATCACAGCAGAGATGTTTGCTTCTTTAAAAAATAGAGAAATAATTCTTCACTTAGACTATTTTAATAAAATAATATAAACTTCTGAATGTCAAGAGAAGCTTTGGAGAGCAAACCAGCAACTCACCGTCTGTGTTTCCCAGTTGGAGACGATACAAACTCTCCTTTAAACATCTCCTCCTCAGTGTCAAAATCCATTTGAAGCAATTTTGGAAAAACCTTTCTTCCAACATTGTATCATCCAAAATGTTGAAAACATGGAAATTCCCAGTTCCTGTTTATAAACCATCGATATGCACAGATACATGTTTCTAAATACACCCCGTAAATCGTGGAGTTCACCAACAGAACATTAAGAATGTCCCTAAATAACTAATTTACCAGCTTTCCATAAAAACTCAAACCACACAAAGCAAAGATCACAGATTAACTGAGTTAGGCCCAAACAGGCCTGTGACCTAAAGAGGTCAAACACACATGAGTCAGTTTTATTGGAAGGGGACTAGGTGAAAGACCATGGAAACACACAAACATGACGTTTCAGATCAATTTCATTCGAATGTTGAACGTTGAATATAATCATAGGATAACTTCAGGCGATGAGAATCATCATTCCATTTTAATTTTCCTAATCACTGATTTGGTGACTTACCTTGGTTGCTCTTCTACAGGGAAGCATGTTGGAATATTTTGCAGTGTTTGGAATATATGGGTGACGAGTTTTGCATGTTTTGAACATACAATTGTACAGGCTGCTTTATAATCTCAGACGGACGAAGAATCGGTAAAAAAACCCAAACAACATGCTACCGGCTTTCATCGATTTATCCCATTATATAAAGTACAAGGCGATTGGATGAAGCCCAAAGTCTTAAGAATATCTGATTTTCAAGCTCCTCGTTAGTATCAAAGTCTGTTTGTGGCAATTTTGGAAAAATCCAAAATGTGAAAGTATGGTGATAATCATAATAAATTATCCTGTTAACCCACCAATTAAACATTCAAATGACAAATATAAAGGAAGCTGCAGTAAAAATCAGTTAGACTGGGAATTATGCAAAGCAACATGGGAAAACATCTAAGACAAACACGTGCAAAAGCAATATAAAGGATGAGCAGCTTTTCATGACTCAAATCTTTTGTTTTCACTGACAAACTGTCCAACATACCATCGGTTGATAAGATACACTAGTGTTAACCAATCTGTGAAGTATTCAAAACACTACACTTTATTTCCCCCACTTAACCATTTTTTCTTAGTGTGAAGATTATTTTTAACTATCTAAAAAACCCGTTTCCACTATTAAGAACTTTTGTGTGATAGAAAAATCCCATGGATGTTAAAAGATCTTTAAGGAACCATTAATGTCAATAAAGAGCCGTCATTTTTAAGTCCTCTTAGCGTAACCACCAGAGCTCTGTCAAATAGCTGAATAAGTTCTGTTTAAAGAAAAATGCATTCACTGTAGGATCTTATTGAAGATTGATGAAGAGAAGAATCATTAAAAAAAAAACAGACAGGAACGTCTCCTGCTGGATAGATGGAGTAAATCCCACTGTTTCTCCTGAGTTATAGACGTCAGAACAGTCGAATGGCTTGAATTTACAGTCACAGCCCAATACAGCCGGGAGAAGAGCTGGCAAACACACTTCATCTACAAGAGACGGAGAGAGAGATCACACTGACATCAAGGTGGAACCGTCTCTAATAATGTGATTGACACAATGAATGAAACCAATGCACTTACTGCCGTCTTCTCAATCTCTCCTCAGCAGTTCAGTTTATCTAAACATAATTAAAAGAAGGATTTACTTAGACAACTTCATATGTAAAATTGTATAAAATTCTGGATGTATAATGTAAATGCTGAAGAATAACTCACCGTGTGTGTGCTTCAGTCACTAAAACACTCGAGGCTCCAAAACGTGAACATTTCAATTCCTGGTTGTTATTGTTTTTTTTTACCCCCCTTTTTTAAATATTTTGTCTTTTTAGAGGATTTTATGCTACTATTTATTAACTTTTTAAGCGTAGACCTGAAAATAAAATTTCCAACTTAAACTATCGTGAATCTTGAATGCTTTAAAGCGACAGACTTAAAAACACTTGGCAGATTATTGCTGAAGTGAAAGAAAGTTTTTAAAAAGTGAACTTAAAAGTTAGAATTGTAGGTTTATTGTTATGAAAAATGCACAAAAATACTATTTTCAATTTTAATATTAAATATATATTTTCAAAAACACATTTTATTCTAAAACTACAAGAAAACCAAAGCCATAAATCTAAACGAGCTGTGTTCCAAATTTGAGCTTGATTTCTCAACAACAAAAAAGATGTTTCAGTGAGAGTGCAGTACCAAACGCTTCCACTAGAGCAAACTCTCTCATTAATTTCCTATGAGAGGAGCACAAGTGTTAATCATTTAATTCAGGACTATTTTTTTTTTTTTTTTCACATAGCAAGTGCCAAACCCTTTATCAAGTTTCGTGAAGTAAAAAAAAAAAAGTAAAAAATTTCGGTCAAAAATGACTAAAGAGCACCAGAGGGTTTAATAAAACATCCGTACACATTGCTATACGACAACCACATAATCTTGAAATCACGAGCATATTATTAAACGCATGGATTCCACCTAAAGAACACTAATGATCTTTTCTCAAGAACTTACCAGCTTTCTGCAAACACCCGATCTGGGTGTTTGCAGAAAGCTGGTAAGTTCTTGAGAAAAGGAATCCCAAATAATACTACTAATAATAATAAAACAGAGGATTTGACCTTAAAAGGCCCCGTGACCTCAAGGGTCATTCCTTACACTCATGATGATATCATATAGAAAGACAATTTCACAAACATGAGGATTTACCTGACATCTGTAGGAATAACACTACATGAGCGATGTTATATTGCATCACATATAATAGGGCGATTCCCAGCAGGCTCCTAATCCTCCAGGCCAATACATGTCCTTAAAAACAACAACATGCTCACAAACAGCAGTTTATAGCATTTGCATAAAGCCAAAAAAAAAATCCTAAACATTTTGTCAGCTGATGATATTTTCTAAAACCCCCCTGAGATTTCAGGTTAGTATTTAATACTTTTAATAGCTAATATTTAAAGGTGCACTGTGTGATATTTAGGAGGATTTGTAGACAGAAATGCACTATCATAAACATAACTATGTGTTCAGTGGTGTATAAAGACCTTACATAATGAACCGTTATGTTTTTATTAGCTTAGAATGAGGCGTTTCTCTCTACACACACCGCGGGTCCGCTTACACACACGTCTACGGTGGCCCTGAGCGGACACACGCGTTTCGTCACTGTGTTGTTCTTCATGATAAGAAGCTGCTAAAGTCAGCGAATAAAACACAGACACAATGATAATATTCACAATAACATCGTTTTACTGAATAATTAAGTAAACCTAATCTCTTAATTTATCTTTGTAAAGAAACCTCAGTGTTTAACTGGCGACTCTCTGCTGTCTCAGACGACGACATCACTTCCTGGCCGTAACTTCTGTTGGGTGCAGTTCACAACCTCACCACTAGATGCTGCTAAACTTACACACTGCGCCTTTAATAATTACTGACATGCAAGTTAAATAAATAAAACAGTACATCTTTTAATAAGCGTTTAATTTTGATTGTTCGGGAGCTTTATGAAAAGATAATTTTTCATGCTTTGAAATAAAACAGGAGCATTTTCTTTAGTGACATGGTCAATTTTATTGGTCATAGTTTGGACATCCGATCATCTGCTGTCCGAGGCGAGAGCTGGCCCGAGCTTCAGGACAGCAGATCATGCGAGCGGTTAGCCGGATGCGGGAACGCCGGGATTCGAGACGCATCTGTAACATGTAAGATCACGGAAACACCGGATGGATTTAACGTGCAGCTTTGACAAAGCCAAGCAAGGTTTTTCAGGAAAACAGATTAAGATAAGGAATCCTGGGATAGATGTGTGTATGTGTTATCTGCGGGTGAATGAGCGAAGGCATGGCGGTTATCCGGTTCTCAGGATGATGTGAACTCCGGAGTCGGTGAACACGGGGCCGCTCATGTCTCCGACCTTCAGCGCGAACGACACGTCTTCAAAGGGCTTCTGCATTTGACCTGACACACACACACACAACACACACATATATATTAAGACAGGACACAATGGATCAATGTCAGGCTGAAAACTGTATTAATATTCGATAGGGATGCACCAATATGGACATTTTGCCCGATACCGATAATTCTTTATATTTGAAAGCCGATAACCGATATATTGGCTGATAAATCTAAATACAAATTTCTATATAATTTTTGAGATCCTGATTACAAAAACAAAAGTCTCACCATTAAAATCCATGTCCCAAACACACAATCATAATGTTCTCATTGTAATGTTATGTAGCCAATATTACACACGTTGCACTTTACTGTATTTTCCTTTAAAAAAAAAAATTATATTTTCAATCATATTTCAAGCAATTCAAACCCATCATGTTGAACAGTCGAATCTGAAGCGTCTCAACTGGAGGGAATAATACATTATTGATCAGCTTTAATATATCAGACATATTTTCTTATCAGGCCGATAACGAGAACATTAAAAGGTTTCCCTTTATTTTGATGGTTTCTTAAACATATTCAGTTGACTATAAGTAACGTTGCACCTACATCTCATTAGAGTATTAGTAGAGTACCAGTAGAGTATTAGTAGAGTACCAGTAGAGTATTAGTAGAGTACCAGTAGAGTATTAGTAGAGTACCAGTAGAGTATTAGTAGAGTACCAGTAGAGTATTAGTAGAGTACCAGTAGAGTATTAGTAGAGTACCAGTAGAGTATTAGTAGAGTGTTAGTAGAGTAATAGTAGAATACTAGTAGAGTGTTAGTAGAGTGTTAGTAGAGTAATAGTAGAATACTAGTAGAGTGTTAGTAGAGTACCAGTAGAGTATTAGTAGAGTACCAGTAGAGTATTAGTAGAGTACCAGTAGAGTATTAGTAGAGTACCAGTAGAGTATTAGTAGAGTACCAGTAGAGTATTAGTAGAGTATTAGTAGAGTACCAGTAGAGTATTAGTAGAGTACCAGTAGAGTATTAGTAGAGTACCAGTAGAGTATTAGTAGAGTGTTAGTAGAGTAATAGTAGAATACTAGTAGAGTGTTAGTAGAGTACTAGTAGAGTGTTAGTAGAGTGTTAGTAGAGTATTAGTAGAGTACTAATAGAGTACTAGTAGAGTACTAGTAGAGTACTAGTAGGGTATTAGTAGAGTATTAGTAGTGTTAGTAGAGTACTAGTAGAGTGTTAGTAGAGTACTAGTAGAGTATTAGTAGAGTACTAGTAGAGTATTAGTAGAGTACTAGTAGAGTACTAGTAGAGTGTTAGTAGAGTACTAATAGAGTACTAATAGAGTACTAGTAGAGTACTAGTAGAGTACTAGCAGAGTATTAGTAGAGTACTAGTAGGGTATTAGTAGAGTACCAGTAGAGTACCAGTAGAGTACTAGCAGAGTACTAGTAGGGTATTAGTAGAGTACCAGTAGAGTACCAGTAGAGTACTAGTAGAGTACTAGCAGAGTACTAGCAGAATACTAGTAGAGTACTAGCAGAGTATTAGTAGAGTACTAGTAGGGTATTAGTAGAGTACCAGTAGAGTATTAGTAGAGTACCAGTAGAGTACTAGTAGAGTACTAGTAGAGTATTAGAGTACCAGTAGAGTATTAGTAGAGTACCAGTAGAGTATCAGTAGAGTATTAGTAGAGTACTAAGAGAGTACTAGTAGAGTATTAGAAGAGTACTAGTAGAGTACTAGCAGAGTACTAGCAGAGTACTAGCAGAGTACTAGTAGGGTATTAGTAGAGTATTAGTAGAGTAACAGTAGAGTACTAATAGAGTACTAGTAGAGTACTAATAGAGTACTAGTAGAGTATTAGTAGAGTACCAGTAGAGTACTAGTAGAGTACTAGTAGAGTACCAGTAGAGTATTAGAGTACCAGTAGAGTATCAGTAGGGTATCAGTAGAGTACTAGTAGAGTATTAGTAGAGTATTAGTAGAGTACTAGTAGAGTGTTAGTAGAGTATTAGTAGAGTATTAGTAGAGTACTAGCAGAGTACTAGCAGAGTACTAGCAGAGTACTAGTATTAGTAGAGTACTAGTACTAGTAGAGTACTAGTAGAGTACTAGTAGAGTATTAGTAGAGTATTAGCAGAGTACTAGTATTAGTAGAGTACTAGTAGAGTGTTAGTAGAGTATTAGTAGAGTGTTAGTAGAGTACTAGTACTAGTAGAGTATTAGTAGAGTACCAGTAGAGTATTAGTAGAGTACCAGTAGAGTACTAGTAGAGTATTAGTAGAGTACTAGTAGAGTACTAGTAGAGTACTAGTAGTATCAGTAGAGTATCAGTAGAGTATCAGTAGAGTACTAGTAGAGTGGTAGGATTATAATAAGTTGACGTAGTTGTAAAGTTACTTATAGCTGCAGAATGTCTGTTGAGGAGCATCACAATAGAGAGTTAGCAGATATTAAGCAGTCTACTAATACTCTAATGAGAGTTAGTCATGCAGTTGCAGAGTTACTTATAGTCAACAGAAAGTTCAAAAGGGACCATTAAAATAAAGTGTTCTCCATTAAAAACGAGCATATATGTGGCGACAGCGATGTGGTGGCCGATATATTGTGCATCCCTAATATCCGATGCGGAGATGAACTGAGTCTCACCCCTGCCGAATACGCCAAGGTCTCCTCCGTTCCTCGCTGAGCTGCAGTCGCTGAACTGAGACGCCAGACTCTCAAACTCCTCCTCTCCAGATTTGATCTGTTCAATGTACTCTACACACACACACAGAGAGAGAGAGAGAGAGAACATGACAGCGTTTCAGAGTCGTTTATAATGGAGGAAAAGAGAGCCCCATTGAAGCAACTTTCATTTTTATCCGTAATATTTCATGCCAGTTTCCCAGGAAGTGCCGATTTAGTTCACTTGTGATGGAAACGTATCTAGTGTGCAGTGGGGGCTCGTCAGGGGAGGTTGAGCTGGAATGGGAGAAGGCCTGCTGGAGCTAGGGCTGGGACGACACACCCATCTCCCAATCCCATACTTGTGTGCCGGTACGATATGCATAATAATTGGAGCCAGTGTTAATTAGGACTGGGTATCGATTCAGATATTCCAACTCGATTCGCAAGCTCTCAATTCGAGTCGATTTTGATTCTCGATTCGAATTTTGATTTGACTCAATGAATATACCGTAATTCCTCAGATATAGGCCGGGGCCTTTATTTACCTGAACTGCAGATGGTAGCCGGCTTTTATTTGAAGCAGGCTTTTATTAGAGGCAGGCCTTTATTTCTAATTCGCGATCCCCGCCCGCCCGCCAGCCAAGTTTCCATGGTGACGCGTCATGCTTGGCACGTGTTCACCACAGCCAAAATAGCGCTGTATGACAGATGTAGCGCTTTTATTTCTAAATATTAACAAACTTGCTTACCATGTCATCAACTATCTTCTATTCTGACTCTCAAATCCGTGTAAGTGAGTTTGTTTTGTCGTTTAAAACCCTTTATAAATGATCTTGATCTGTAACGTGAGATGGGCACCGCAGTTCGGAGATTCCTGTTGTATTTGTTAAGTTACAGCGCGTGAATTCTTCAGTTTCTCCCGAAATACATGAAAGTAAGTGGCCGGTGAACTGGGAGAAGAATAGAGTAAACTTTATAGTTACTTACACTGTGTATCTGATATGAATAAAACACGTCGCCAAATATATTTGAATGGATTGTTATTGCTGCTTCCATAGACACCATTGTGTATTTTACAAACTATAAATTTATTGTTTTGCTATAAATCATATCTATTTAAATGTCTGAAACCTAAAATAAACATGTGGTTAAAAACACTGAATAGTTGTGATATATGACAAGCGCTGAGCGCGTCCGTCTTTGAGTGTACACTCATTTAAAGTGTACCTATAGAGGGAATGCATTAACGTCACTTCCCCGCCGGAACACGCCCCCCTCAGCGGGACTGAGTGGCAGAAGAGCTGCTGCGTGACTGGAGTTAATAGGGGAAACTGCGTTAACGCGAGTAAAACAAACTATTATCAGTTTAAACTAAAAGTTGGACTCGATATAGTGTTCCTTACAACTTATCAAAGATCCAGTGATCCATGGATATTGACATGCAGCCAGGAATCGTGTTTCCTGACATTTATATGTGCCTGATTTCGACGCCGGGGAAATAAATGAAGAAAATTTGCCTGTAAACGTTTTATATAAATACAATATAGATAGGTCTAAATCCGAGTGACCACTTACATTAATGTTATACTGTATATCATCATATCGTCCAGCCCTAAAACTTGTATAGTTTTTTGTCAGTGTTTATTTAAAAACATCCAATTATGCAGAATATAGTCTGTTCTGTAGCTTTTTGCAGTCTGTAAAAATATACAGTACCTCAGATTTCTGGTCAAATCTAGTTGTACAGTCAATCGCAAAGCTCTTTCCCGTTTTAGATGTGTTTTGTGTGATTTTCACGGCATTCACGCTGGAAACAAATGCTGCCGCTCAGTCTTTTTGCCACTTGTGGGCGTGACCGCATTCACTCCGGCCGACGGTGACGTCATGCGCATACCCATTTATTCACACTATTTTTTCCCCGGCCTTAATTTGAGACCGGCCTTTATTTGTCCGCGTTGACCACGCCCCCGGCCACTATCAGAGGCCCGGCGTTTATTTGAATACCGGTCTTTATTTGAGGAATTACGGTAGATGTAATACAAATCCTATATTTATAAAAAAGAACAGTGAACATAAGTTTACAAGTGGTTAATTAATAAAAAGCCTATGGAGAGTCCCCACAAAGATGTGTGCGCCTGTTTGCTTGTGTGTGTGTGTGTGTGTGTGTGTGTGTGTGTGTGTGAAGTTTCAGCTCAAAATACCCCACAGATGATTTTTTCAGCATGTTAAAGTTGTCTCTTTTTGAGGGTGAGCAAAAACGCAGTGTTTTGTGTGTGTGTCCCTTTAAATGCAACTCAAATAATCTCTCCGTCATTGTCTGACTCCAGTTTAAACAAAAGGCAGAACAGTTTCTGACATTTTAGAGCTTGTCTGCGTGAGGTAACACACGCTGCTCTCTCACACACACACAAGCTCTTGAAGCTCATTTGCATTTAAAGGGACACATATCAAAATGGTGCGTTTTTGCTCACCCTCAAAAAGAGACAACTTTAACATGCTGGAAAAATCATCTGTGGGGTATTTTGAGCTGAAACTTCACACACACACACACACTCTGGGACGTCAGAGACTTACTTTAGCTCTTGTGAGGTACCCTTTAAACCCCCCAGCCGCCACTGCTAGCGTGCTAGTGTGCTAGCGTGTCTTACTGTGGATGAGCTGCAGCGCCTCGTCTTTGCCGCGCGTGATGTTCTCCTCTCTCCAGGAGGAGGGCCGGCGCGACTGGTTGTGTTTGACCAGCAGGTGCGAGCACCGGACCTTCTCCAGCTCGCCGGCGCCGTCCGCCCCCGACCCGCTCGGGCGCTCCCACTGACTCGCGTTCGTGATGTGGTTGAAGTAATACACCCGACCTGCGCCACACACAGACAACATTACATTTACATTTATGTTTTATCCAAAGCGACTGAGGGGCTGTTTACACAACACCGTTTTCAACTAAAAACGTACAACTTTTTATGCGTCTTGGCCGTTTGTTTACACGACAGCGGCGATTTGGGCGCCTGAAAACACAATGTTTTAAAAACGGTCTCTGTGTAAACAACACAAACGCGAATCTCTGCAGACGATGACGTCAGGCACACGCGCATTACGTGTTCAGTCTATAGTGTTTCATCGCCTTCTACTGGCCTGGCTGCAGAATACAGCGCTTTTGATCGTTTTCGCGGATCCGTGTGAATGGGGATCGTCTGTACGCGGAAACTCAAAGGAAAAACGTCTCCGTTTAAAGCATATCGTTGTCGCGTAAACTTGCCCTTATTGCATTTCAACTAACAGTACATTTACATCAGTTCTCAGTTCTTGCTTTCCCGGGAATCGAACCCATGACCTGGGCGTTGCAAGCGCCAACGCTCTACTGTTTTTTAATGCAGCTTTGGTGAGCAGAAGACTCTTTTCTTAAGTCACCTTTATTTATATAGAGCTTTTTACAACACAGAGTGTTTCAGAGCAGCTTTACAGAGATAACAGGAAAATAATGCTACAGAGTGTGTTTCTAGAAGAGTATAGCGTCACAGTCCAGCTTAAGTCAGTTCACTGATGCTTCATTTCTGTTGTTAAAAAGTTATTAATTTAGTTAATTTATATAGCTGCTCTGGAGAAAACATAATATTGTTTTATTCATAGTGTGTGTATATAAAACATTACATTCAAATATTTATATATTAACCTTATGTATCTGAATAAGTACTGTAATATTACTGTATTGTTGCTATGCTTATTGTTTTCTACACCCTTTTTATGGACTAATTTTTTTAGTGGAAGCTTTAAGATCAACCACAAAAAAAGACAAAAAACTTAAATCAGACATTTATGTCCATATTTCTAATTATTTGGCAAGTGAAATAATGATTTAACAGACAGAATTAACCCTTTCATTGTGCTAATCGAGATGACTGGCTTAGTGGACACTATTCCGCGTACACGATTGAATTTATTAAATATTACTCGTAACTGAATAAAGTAAATTTACACACAAATTATCTTGACAAAGCTAACGCTATTACCCTTCAAATAGCTAAATACCAGTCTGGCCCAGATATAGTTCAGATATTAAAAGGTGTTTAGAAATCCAAATGTTTTGATATTTGAAGATTCAGTGATTGATGCTTCAACTCATCCGCTTTTAAACACCGAACATCTCCGAATAACTCGCTCGTGTTGGGTTTAAAATCAGAATTCAGTCAGGTTTGGGTTTGGGTTTAGCATCGGCTCTCGCGCGCGGGCTCGATTGTTTTTGGCGGTTCGGTGTCGGTTAGCATTAGCATACGCACTGCTCACACGCGCCCAAACACTGACTCGGTTCCGGGTTTACATGTGAACACGGGCCGCCACGACTGACCTGAACTCCGGCTCATGCGCTTCTCCCACCCGGACGGCAGCTTCTCATCGTCGGACATGATTTGAGAATGGTGTCGGATCGGTTCGGCTCGGGTCTGGTCTGATGTAGCGCCGCTGCAGTGACCGGGACTGACCGACAGGGGGCGACAGAGGACAAACACTGGGAAACAACACCGCTTTACCATGGAAGCTTGTTTCCTTTTTCTTGTAAATGGAAAAAAGTACAAGCCCTCCAGTCTGCTTCTGTTTTAAGTTTTCTCTCTCTCATTCAGATACATAAGGTTATTTCATATATAAATAATTTAATCGTCATATATTGTAATATATGACGAAGGGACATTACAAAATGCAATGTTATACACACACTATGAATAATTTATTAACATTTATTTGATCTAAAATACAGTGAAATATTATTCTATGTGAAGTGTAATTGATTCCTGTGATCAAATAATAATATATTTCTATGAGTTTGTTAAAATGTTTCAAATGAGTTTCAAATCATTCAAAAAAACAATAAAAATTCTGAAACTGTGTTTCTCTCCGTTAAAATATTTACTATTGTAATATATTTTTCTTTGTGTTAGTCTCAATGGAAGTGTCTTTGTTGATTGTTCCGTCTTGTTATGTACATTCTGCAATAAAAAAAAATAAAATAGCTTGTTTCTTTTTTTATTAATGCAAGAAAACACAATAACAATAAGGCAATGCAAAATCACATAAAATCCCTAAAGATCAGAGCTCAACTCTGTAAGAATGAAGCAAAAATTACAAGAAAGAAAGAAAGAAAACGATGACATAAAAAGTCAAAATTATGACATGAAGATTCAAAATTATGAAATAAAAAGAAAACTATTAACTGGTACTTGATGCTATAGCGGTTTGACAATAACGATAAATTCAAATTGACTTACAAGGTCGAAATTTGACTTAAAAAGACATAATTATGATACAAGAAGTCGAAATTATGACATAAAAGTGTCTTGCTGGTAGGATTAGGTGGTGTATTTTGTGTTCTTGTGAGTTTCTAGTGTTTTATTTAGCTATTATTCGAATTATGGATTGGATATTTCCATAGACAGTAAAAGAGGATATTTCTCACATGAAAAAAAAGGCATTCACGACACCTAACATCGATCAGCGGCAATTTCCTGGTGACCTCATCCTTCCACGCCCCTCCTGGACTGTGGTTGGTGAAACCGGCTGTCAGTCAAGCGTGCGCGCCTCTGATTGGCCAGCCGTGAGCGGATGTTTTCACTGCGTTGGTTTACGGCAAACGCTCGTGAGTGTGCGAGAGAAACGCGTCTGATTTTCTGCGGGAACAAACGACAGAGAAATCAGGTAGAAATCTACAGACTTCGTCCGGTTCGTCGTTTATTTACACGCGTATCCAATGTTACTGTTTAGTAATACATTATAGGATGTAATGCGTTAGTGTGTTTGAACGAAACCCATCGCTTTATTGTGTAGATGCTGCTGGGTGAGCTCAAACAACACTGACTGATAGCTTAAGTAACGTTACATCTCAGAGACGTCTATTTGATGTCTGCATTACATCTGAGAGAAGAGCGTTTACTCATCTGCAACACGCCTCTGGTTTCCTGTTAAGGGGATGATATACAGGGCAACTTTTTGAGCAATCTTGCCGAGCGATTATTGCTTGGGCACTTTCCCATTTAAAATGGCCAATACATTTCTCTCTGGATACTTTAGATGGGTCGTGGGCCTGTGTCTCACCTGTGTCTCGCCTGTGTCTCGTCTGTGTCTCACCTGCCTGTGTCTCACCTGTGTCTCGTCTGGTTGCCCGTTGACGGTAACATTGCCCACTGCCCCGCAACATTGCTCAAAGAGTTGGCCTGTGTCACCTTTAGATGTCATATAGACCTTTAGGAGACGTCTTTAAGATGTTTGAATGTTCGTAAAACTGCCTTTTCTAAGATGTTTATCAGATGTTTTCCAGATTAGTCGATCTTACACACACACACACACACACACACCTGTGCTCTCTGAGATAACAGCCTCAATGAGATCAACATAATAACAATTAAGAAACCGCCACTGATACTAATTTAGTATTAGTTATATAGCAGTAGTAATGATGATATGATTATGGTGATTATATAAAGAGATCGTTGACATTTTCTTACTAAATATAGAGTACATCATGATAACGGTAATGACAGCAGTGAATGTGATGATGATGTAGTGAATGTGATGATGATGATGATGCGGTGAATATGATGATGTAATATGATGATGTGATGTCTGTTTCAGAGATGATCGAGGTGGTGTGTAACGACCGTTTGGGGAAGAAGGTTCGAGTCAAATGCAAGTATCCTTTGAAACGCCGTGTGAAAGTCCCAGTGTGTGTGTGTGCGTGTGTGTGTGGGTGGTGTTATGGCTCTTAAAGGAGAACTCCGGCGCAAAATGAACCTTTGGTCTAATAAAACATTGGTACCTAGTCAACCGTTCTCTGAGATTTGTTTTCATGATGATCGAATGTAAAGAGTTTTATCTCTAAATACAGTTTAGCGTATAACGCTAGTAATGGGGGCATTTAATAAGTAAAAATAAATCGCTAGTTTATACCACTAACAAGGCTCAAAATAGCCCCACACGAACACAGTGACATAATGAGGGTCCCTACATGCAAAACGAAGCATTGAGAACTGTGTAAGTGTACAGACCGTTTAATAAGAAGATAAAGATAAAGACAGTCCACTTCGTGTATACAGACAGGAGCCATCTTTGGAAAACAGTCTCGACTAGTCAAACCACGAACGCCATTCATACAGTTCAGCTCACTTAGCACGTCGTTCATGGTTTGTCTAATCTAGTGTGTGTGTGTGTTATGGCTCTTAACCGTGTGTGTCAGTCAGGAGGACACGATCGGGGACCTGATGTGTGTGTGTGTGTGTTATGCTCTTAACCGTGTGTGTCAGTCAGGAGGACACGATCGGGGACCTGAAGAAGCTGATCGCGGCTCAGACCGGCACACGCTGGGACAAGATCGTGCTCAAGAAATGGTGAGAACATCGAGCGTCACACAAGGAGCACTAAAGCAGTCAGACGTGATTATAACGATGTGTGTGTGTGTGTGTGTGTGTGTGTGTGTGTGTGTGTGTGCAGGTACACCATATTCAAGGACCACGTGTCTCTGGGAGACTGTATCCTTCACACACATTACTGGGTTTGATAATTTACACTGTTCAAATGTGAAGCTCAAGGCCGTATATTACACCAGTAACACCTTTAGCTAATGCTTTTACTAACTTTAACAACGAGCTTAGTTACAGTCATTTATTAATGTTTGTTCATGTTAGCTAATAGAAACTCTAGTGCTAGTTCAGCTTTAGGTGTAATTCATCACTAATTTAATTACTTTTCCCTTGAAAAAGTGAAGTAAGGGATTACTCTTCATTTCTGTCAGTCGTTTAATTAGTTGCTTCTGATTGCATTAATAGTGTATTACTATAGAACAGTGCTATATAAAACAAAAGTAAAACACGTCTAACGGTAAAATGTACGTTTTTAATGTAACCCTCTCACTTTAAACACTTATAATAGCTCAAGAATAATTTATGCAGTTATATATTGCTTATTTGAAAGAATTAAATCCGCTGTTTCGTGTTTATCCTTGAGGTTAATAAGGGATTTATGAAGTAATTATTAGTAAGTCATGCGAGAGATTAATTAGTAATGCAATACTGTTCACAGAGAGTAATCATTAGTTTTAGAGTAACTTCCCCAACACTGATGTTAAATCAGGCGTTTGTGTTTACAGTATTATTAATGTGCAAAATATGATCAGATACAGCATTAAAACATAAAGTAACTGATATTAATCTTATGATTACAGACAGAAAACATAATGTTAAACTCTATATCTATTGTGTTATCTATCAATACATGTTATAATCATTTGGTTTTATTAATTTATTTGCATAATTAAACATTTCATATATTTTTTCCCCAGTTGAAAATGTTAGTTTTACTAATCTTAGTAAATGTTGAAATGAACTAAGATTAATGAAAGCTGTAGAAATCATTAACTAATGAAGTTACTAATGTCAACAAATGAAACCATATTGTAAAGTGTTAGTGTGTGTGTGTATATATAATATCATATGTGAGTCTGTTATTGTTCTGTTGTGTGTATGAAACATTGTCAATATGTGAAATCATTAATTTCTTTGACTGATCATCAGATGAAATCCACGACGGCATGAACCTCGAGCTGTATTACCAGTAGAACACACACACACACACACACACACACACACACACACACACCATGTCTCGACGCATCAGAATATCTGTTCAGTTGAATTGTTTTGATATTATTTGGAAATAAAACTCATATTTATGTATGATCACGTCTCAGTGTTTGTGGTTTCAAACATGTTTAATAAGAGTCTGAGGGGAAACAGCTCATCATTACACACACTGAAATATCAACATCTCATAAAGCACACGAGTCGCTCTTCTGGAATAACATGATTGTCCAGAAGCACCTCAATGCAGTACATGAGATCCACGGGGAGGAGTCGGGTCAATGCAAGGGGTGGAGATGGGTAGGATTAGGGGTGTGTTTAGGGATTAGGGGTGTGTTCAGGGATTTGGGGTGTGTTTAGGGATTAGGGGTGTGTTTAGGGATTAGGGGTGGGTTCAGGGATTAGGGGTGGGTTTAGGGATTAGGGGTGGGTTCTGGGATTAGGGGTGGGTTCAGGGATTAGGGGTGGGTTTAGGGATTAGGGGTGTGTTCTGGGATTAGGGGTGGGTTTAGGGATTAGGGGTGTGTTTAGGGATTAGGGGTGGGTTCAGGGATTAGGGGTGGGTTTAGGGATTAGGGGTGGGTTCTGGGATTAGGGGTGGGTTCAGGGATTAGGGGTGGGTTTAGGGATTAGGGGTGTGTTCAGGGATTAGGGGTGGGTTTAGGGATCAGGGGGCGGAGATAGGTAGCTTTAGGTATATGTAAGGTGGGAGGAGTTGGATCTGGATCCGACTCCTCCCCGTGGATTTCATATTCTGCAGTGAGGACCATCTCTGATTATCCCTGGATTACGTCACAAGTGAACGCAGAAGTCATTCAGTTGGTCTGTGTCTAGTGAAGCACGGGTCTGGAGAGTAACGTCAGTGTGATGTAACGAAGCTGTTGATTGGCCAGCAGGGATCCGAAGGTTTTAATTGGCCAGCAGGGATCCGAAGCTGTTGATTGGCCAGCTGGGATCTGAAGGTTTTGATTGGTCAGCAGTAATCTGAATGCTCCTCCTCCACGTAATTAGCAGGAAACAAGCCCACCTGTAGAGGAACACTAGCGTTAATCAACCACTCACATTTATTCAGAGTTTGTGGATCTGAAAAAAATATCAATTCAAGGCCCTGGAAAGTTTTTGAAAATAAATGTGCATGCACACAGGTCCTTGAGTGCTTGAGTTGAGTATTATTCATATATATATATTTATTTTCACATACATGTTTTCTGATGGGTCCGCTAATGTGTTATTCCGCCAGCACTGCGTGGCCTAGTGTTCAAAACAACACTAAGAAAACAAGATTTCGTATAGGTCATACTGGACTTACTGGGAATCTATATATAATAGGGGTGTTTAGATACGCTTATGTCACTATTCCATACATATCACGATACTAAACTCGCGATACTCCATCAAAATGGTAAATCTGGTTTTACATTGTGTGTGTAAATGTATATTCTTGGACTTGGTGCTGAAACCCAAAGCACAGACAATAGAGACGCCAGAATACACACATTAATGATTTTGAAGCTGAAAACACTGAATTATTGTAGATGAATATGCTTGATCTCAGTCTCTGACTAGATATATTTATAATAATGCCACTTTTTACTGGTAACATCAGACATCTGGCATTATCAGTACACACAAATATTCCCCGATCACATTATTATATATTATACAGGTCCTTCTCAAAAAATTAGTATATTGTGATAAAGTTCATTATTTTCCATAATGTAATGATAAAAATTAAACTTTCATATATTTTAGATTCATTGCACACCAACTGAAATATTTCAGGTCTTTTATTGTTTTAATACTGATGATTTTGGCATACAGCTCATGAAAACCCAAAATTCCTGTCTCACAAAATTAGCATATTTCATCCGACCAATAAAAGAAGGGTTTTTAATACAAAAAAAAAAGTCAACCTTCAAATAATTATGTTGAGTTATGCACTCAATACTTGGTCGGGAATCCTTTTGCAGAAATGACTGCTTCAATGCGGCGTGGCATGGAGGCAATCAGCCTGTGGCACTGCTGAGGTGTTATGGAGGCCCAGGATGCTTCGATAGCGGCCTTAAGCTCATCCAGAGTGTTGGGTCTTGCGTCTCTCAACTTTCTCTTCACAATATCCCACAGATTCTCTATGGGGTTCAGGTCAGGAGAGTTGGCAGGCCAAATGAGCACAGTAATACCATGGTCAGTAAACCATTTACCAGTGGTTTTGGCACTGTGAGCAGGTGCCAGGTCGTGCTGAAAAATGAAATCTTCATCTCCATAAAGCTTTTCAGCAGATGGAAGCATGAAGTGCTCCAAAATCTCCTGATAGCTAGCTGCATTGACCCTGCCCTTGATAAAACACAGTGCACCAACACCAGCAGCTGACATGGCACCCCAGACCATCACTGACTGTGGGTACTTGACACTGGACTTCAGGCATTTTGGCATTTACTTCTCCCCAGTCTTCCTCCAGACTCTGGCACCTTGATTTCCGAATGACATGCAAAACTGAGCAACAGTCCAGTGCTGCTTCTCTGTAGCCCAGGTCAGGCGCTTCTGCCGCTGTTTCTGGTTCCAAAGTGGCTTGACCTGGGGAATGCGGCACCTGTAGCCCATGTCCTGCACACGCCTGTGCACGGTGGCTCTGGATGTTTCTACTCCAGACTCAGTCCACTGCTTCCGCAGGTCCCCCAAGGTCTGGAATCGGTCCTTCTCCACAATCTTCCTCAGGGTCCGGTCACCTCTTCTCGTTGTGCAGCGTTTTTTGCCACACTTTTTCCTTCCCACAGACTTCCCACTGAGGTGCCTTGATACAGCACTCTGGGAACAGCCTATTTGTTCAGAAATTTCTTTCTGTGTCTTACCCTCTTGCTTGAGGGTGTCAATGATGGCCTTCTGGACAGCAGTCAGGTCGGCAGTCTTACCCATGATTGCGGTTTTGAGTAATGAAACAGGCTGGGAGTTTTTAAAAGCCTCAGGAATCTTTTGCAGGTGTTTAGAGTTAATTAGTTGATTCAGATGATTAGGTTAATAGCTTGTTTAGAGACCCTTTTCATGATATGCTAATTTTTTGAGACAGGAATTTTGGGTTTTCATGAGCTGTATGCCAAAATCATCAGTATTAAAACATTAAAAGACCTGAAATATTTCAGTTGGTGTGCAATGAATCTAAAATATATGAAAGTTTAATTTTTATCATTACATTATGGAAAATAATGAACTTTATCACAATATGCAATTTTTTTCAGAAGGACCTGTATATAGTATTTTAATGTACTGACACGAAAACCCTGTAAACTTGATTTTTTTAACAGTATTTTCATTTTGGGTGAACTATCCACAATACAGATTGATGCATTTTTGTATTGTGATATATTGTTACACTCCTAATATATAATAAAAAAGCATCATAATGGGTTGTGCAGTCATTGTATTGTAGAAGAGACAGTTGAACATGTAATATTATGTTGTACATTGTATGAATGAAAGACGAATGTTGCTTATAAAATTACAGGAAAATGAAATCCAAGATTTGTCATTTAAAAATTTGTTGGCAAGGAAACAAGGTATGAAAGATGAGGTGTTGCAATATATGAAAGCAACAAGATTATATTTGATAATATAACTAAGTAACCTACTAAGGAATCTTTTTATACTTTATTTATTTTTGTATTATTCCGCATTGCAGTTCAGCTGGTGGCGGTAATGAAGAAGAAGAACCACAGACTGAACCCGCCCATGTGACCTTCACACAGTGTGCCTCACATCTGCATGGAAGCTGCTTTACACCACAGGCTCTAATTTGGACTCGTTATCTTACAATTCTGACTTTATTGCGAGTTTATATCTTATGATTCTGTCTGTTTCTTTCTCAGAATTGTGAGATATAAATCAGAGAATTACTGAACTGAGAGTTTAATTTGGTTCTTAAAAACCCTCATGTGACTTCAGGAGACATGAAATACATAATCGTGATGCCTGTTATGATAGTGTTAAGTGTTTTTAAATGAACCTCAAAAAAGATTTTTTGTATATTTATATGAATGAATGTATATTTATATGTTTTTCTTTCGGTTATTGGTATGCTATTGTTACGATTAGATGTTTTTGCTTTTTCATTGGACAAAAAAACCGCTGAAAATCAATTCCATCCTGTAACACAATAAAAGTTCATTTCTGGTGCAGTTTTTACTGAAAAACAAGCATATTTTTGTGTTTCATAGAACATGAGGGATTATTTATCACTTCTCTCATATCTTATGTTGATTTGATTTTTATAATTAATTTTATAATTTAACCTCTGTGAGATTAAAAATCTTATTTTTATGGGAATGTCCTAAATATAAAGTAAAAAAAACTGCCTTGTATTAACAGATTTATGGCGCTGATTTTATGGAGCCGATAACGGTAACAAAAAACTAACGATAACGGTAACAATAACTGTAAGGATAACGGTAACAATAACGGTAACAATAACTGTAACGATAACGGTTACTATAACTGTAAGGATAATGCTAACAATAACTGTAATGATAACAATAACAATAACTGTACTGATAACAATAACTGTAAGGATAATGGTAACAATAACTGTAACGGTAACAATAACTGTAACGATAACGGTAACAATAACTGTAAGGATAACGGTAACATTAACTGTAACGATAACGGTAACAATAACTGGTAACGATAACGGTGACAATAACTAACGGTAACAATAACTGTAAGGATAACGGTAACAATAACTGGTAACGATAACGATGACAATAACTAACGGTAACTATAACTGTAACGATAACTATAACTGTAAGGATAATGCTAACAATAACTAAGGATAACGGTAACAATAACGGTAACAATAACTGTAACGATAACGGTAACTATAACTAAGGATAATGCTAACAATAACTGTAAGGATAACGGTAACAATAACTGTAACTGTAACGATAACGGTAACAATAACTGTAAGGATAACGGTAACAATAACTGTAAGGATAACGGTAACAATAACTGTAACGGTAACGTAACAATAACTGTAACGTTAACGTAACAATAACTAACGAAAAACTAACAATAACTGTAACGATAACGGTAATAATAATTAACAAAAAACTAACAATAACTATAATGATAACTGTAACAATAACTGTGATGATAACGGTAACAATGGTGGTAACAATAACTAACGGTAACAATAACTTTTAACAACTGTAACAATAACTGTAAGAATAACTAACTGTAATGGTAACAATAACTGAGGATAACTAACAATAACTAATGATAACTAACTAGCTGTAACAATAACTAACAATAATTCTAACAATAACTGTAATAATAAGGGTAAAATTAACAGTAACAATAACTGTATGCATAATGGTAAAATTGACTGTACCAATAACGGCAACAATAACTATAAACATACATACCCATAAAGTTTTAATAAGTACTCTAATTCTAAGAGAATAGTAAAGTCCACAGCACAGCTATAACAATACTGACACAGAGAAACATTAATGTAAGAATCACTCTCAGAATTACTTCCAGCTGATGAACGATACAAACATTGACAGCCAATCAGAATCCATCCTGCTCTAAAGAGCTCGAGAATTTAAAGAGACAGACGACAAAACGACAGTGATAAACAGAATGATATTTAATTTACTTTTATATATTTAAAAAGCCTCTGTGAGATTAAAAGTCTTATATTTAGGGGAATGTCCTGGATATAAAGTTAAGAAATGAAAAAGAAACGTGATATCAGATTTCTGTGTCTGCGTGCCACTGAAGTGTGAGTAAACGACGACAGAAGTGTGTGTGTGTGTGTGTGTGTGTGTGTCGTACCCTGCCGTACACCTCTCCTCTCCACCAGCCGTTGTGAGCTTTCTTGGATATGATTTTGACGGTGTCTCCCTCCCGCAGAGAGAGTTCAGTGCGGTCCCGCGCGGAGAAATCGTAGCGCACTTTGGCGGTGCCGTGGTAGCGCTCGCTCGGCCCTGCGGACACACACACACACACACACACACACACACACAGATGATCGGAGTGTTTCAGTGTTAGCGCTCACAGCAGTAGCGGCTCGTACCTGTGCTGTGTGTGTTGTGTGTGTGTGTTGGTGTGTGTGTGTGTGTGTGAAGGCTGTGTTTCAGTGTTAGCGCTCACAGCGGCAGCGGCTCGTACCTGTGCTGTGTGTGTTGTGTGTGTGTGTGAAGGCTGTGTTTCAGTGTTAGCGCTCACAGCAGTAGCGGCTCGTACCTGTGCTGTGTATGTTGTGTGTGTGTGTTGGTGTGTGTGTGTGTGTGTGAAGGCTGTGTTTCAGTGTTAGCGCTCACAGCGGTAGCGGCTCGTACCTGTGCTGTGTGTGTTGTGTGTGTGAGTGAAGGCTGTGTTTCAGTGTTAGCGCTCACAGCGGTAGCGGCTCGTACCTGTGCTGTGTGTTGTGTGTGTGTGTGTGAAGGCTGTGTTTCAGTGTTAGCGCTCACAGCACTAGCGGCTCGTACCTGTGCTGTGTGTGTTGTGTGTGTGAGTGAAGGCTGTGTTTCAGTGTTAGCGCTCACAGCAGTAGCGGCTCGTACCTGTGCTGTGTGTGTTGTGTGTGTGAGTGAAGGCTGTGTTTCAGTGTTAGCGCTCACAGCGGTAGCGGCTCGTACCTGTGCTGTGTGTTGTGTGTGTGTGTGTGAAGGCTGTGTTTCAGTGTTAGCGCTCACAGCGGTAGCGGCTCGTACCTGTGCTGTGTGTTGTGTGTGTGTGTGTGAAGGCTGTGTTTCAGTGTTAGCGCTCACAGCGGCAGCGGCTCGTACCTGTGCTGTGTGTGTTGTGTGTGTGTGTGTGTGTGTGTGAAGGCTGTGTTTCAGTGTTAGCGCTCACAACAGTAGCGGCTCGTACCTGTGCTGTGTGTTGTGTGTGTGTGTGAAGGCTGTGTTTCAGTGTTAGCGCTCACAGCGGTAGCGGCTCGTACCTGTGCTGTGTGTGTTGTGTGTGTGTGTGAAGGCTGTGTTTCAGTGTTAGCGCTCACAGCGGCAGCGGCTCGTACCTGTGCTGTGTGTGTGTGTGTGTGTGTGTGAGTGAAGGCTGTGTTTCAGTGTTAGCGCTCACAGCAGTAGCGGCTCGTACCTGTGCTGTGTGTGTTGTGTGTGTGTGTGAAGGCTGTGTTTCAGTGTTAGCGCTCACAGCGGTAGCGGCTCGTACCTGTGCTGTGTGTGTTGTGTGTGTGAAGGCTGTGTTTCAGTGTTAGCGCTCACAGCGGTAGCGGCTCGTACCTGTGCTGTGTGTGTTGTGTGTGTGTGAGTGAAGGCTGTGTTTCAGTGTTAGCGCTCACAGCGGTAGCGGTTCGTACCTGTGCTGTGTGTGTTGTGTGTGTGAGTGAAGGCTGTGTTTCAGTGTTAGCGCTCACAGCAGTAGCGGCTCGTACCTGTGCTGTGTGTGTTGTGTGTGTGAGTGAAGGCTGTGTTTCAGTGTTAGCGCTCACAGCAGTAGCGGCTCGTACCTGTGCTGTGTGTTGTGTGTGTGTGAGTGAAGGCTGTGTTTCAGTGTTAGTGCTCACAGCGGTAGCGGCTCGTACCTGTGCTGTGTGTGTTGTGTGTGTGTGTGTGAAGGCTGTGTTTCAGTGTTAGTGCTCACAGCGGTAGCGGCTCGTACCTGTGCTGTATGTGTTGTGTGTGTGTGTGTGTGTGTGTGTGAGTGAGTGAAGGCTGTGTTTCAGTGTTAGTGCTCACAGCGGTAGCGGCTCGTACCTGTGCTGTGTGTGTTGTGTGTGTGTGTGTGAAGGCTGTGTTTCAGTGTTAGCGCTCACAGCGGTAGCGGCTCGTACCTGTGCTGTGTGTGTGTGTGTGTGTGTGTGTGTGTGAAGGCTGTGTTTCAGTGTTAGCGCTCACAGCGGTAGCGGCTCGTACCTGTGCTGTGTGTGTGTGTGTGTGAAGGCTGTGCTTCAGTGTTAGCGCTCACAGCAGTAGCGGCTCGTACCTGTGCTGTGTGTGTTGTGTGTGTGTGTGAAGGCTGTGTTTCAGTGTTAGCGCTCACAGCGGTAGCGGCTCGTACCTGTGCTGTGTGTGTTGTGTGTGTGTGAGTGAAGGCTGTGTTTCAGTGTTAGCGCTCACAGCGGTAGCGGTTCGTACCTGTGCTGTGTGTGTTGTGTGTGTGAAGGCTGTGTTTCAGTGTTAGCACTCACAGCAGTAGCGGCTCGTACCTGTGCTGTGTGTGTTGTGTGTGTGTGAGTGAAGGCTGTGTTTCAGTGTTAGCGCTCACAGCGGTAGCGGCTCGTACCTGTGCTGTGTGTGTTGTGTGTGTGAGTGAAGGCTGTGCTTCAGTGTTAGCGCTCACAGCGGTAGCGGCTCGTACCTGTGCTGTGTGTGTTGTGTGTGTGAGTGAAGGCTGTGTTTCAGTGTTAGCGCTCACAGCGGCAGCGGCTCGTACCTGTGCTGTGTGTGTTGTGTGTGTGAGTGAAGGCTGTGTTTCAGTGTTAGCGCTCACAGCAGTAGCGGCTCGTACCTGTGCTGTGTGTGTTGTGTGTGTGAAGGCTGTGTTTCAGTGTTAGCACTCACAGCAGTAGCGGCTCGTACCTGTGCTGTGTGTGTTGTGTGTGTGTGAGTGAAGGCTGTGTTTCAGTGTTAGCACTCACAGCAGTAGCGGCTCGTACCTGTGCTGTGTGTGTTGTGTGTGTGTGAGTGAAGGCTGTGTTTCAGTGTTAGCGCTCACAGCGGTAGCGGCTCGTACCTGTGCTGTGTGTGTTGTGTGTGTGAGTGAAGGCTGTGTTTCAGTGTTAGCGCTCACAGCGGTAGCGGCTCGTACCTGTGCTGTGTGTTGTGTGTGTGTGTGAAGGCTGTGTTTCAGTGTTAGCGCTCACAGCGGTAGCGGCTCGTACCTGTGCTGTGTGTGTTGTGTGTGTGTGTGTGTGTGTGTGTGAAGGCTGTGTTTCAGTGTTAGCGCTCACAGCAGTAGCGGCTCGTACCTGTGCTGTGTGTGTGTGTGTGTTGTGTGAGTGAAGGCTGTGTTTCAGTGTTAGCGCTCACAGCAGTAGCGGCTCGTACCTGTGCTGTGTGTGTGTGTGTGTTGTGTGAGTGAAGGCTGTGTTTCAGTGTTAGCGCTCACAGCGGTAGCGGCTCGTACCTGTGCTGTGTGTTGTGTGTGTGTGAGTGAAGGCTGTGTTTCAGTGTTAGCGCTCACAGCGGTAGCGGCTCGTACCTGTGCTGTGTGTGTTGTGTGTGTGAGTGAAGGCTGTGTTTCAGTGTTAGCGCTCACAGCAGTAGCGGCTCGTACCTGTGCTGTGTGTGTGTGTGTGTTGTGTGAGTGAAGGCTGTGTTTCAGTGTTAGCGCTCACAGCGGTAGCGGCTCGTACCTGTGCTGTGTGTTGTGTGTGTGTGTGTGAAGGCTGTGTTTCAGTGTTAGCGCTCACAGCGGTAGCGGCTCGTACCTGTGCTGTGTGTGTTGTGTGTGTGAGTGAAGGCTGTGTTTCAGTGTTAGCGCTCACAGCAGTAGCGGCTCGTACCTGTGCTGTGTGTGTTGTGTGTGTGAGTGAAGGCTGTGTTTCAGTGTTAGCGCTCACAGCGGCAGCGGCTCGTACCTGTGCTGTGTGTGTTGTGTGTGTGTGAGTGAAGGCTGTGTTTCAGTGTTAGCGCTCACAGCGGTAGCGGCTCGTACCTGTGCTGTGTGTGTTGTGTGTGTGAGTGAAGGCTGTGCTTCAGTGTTAGCGCTCACAGCAGTAGCCGCTCGTACCTGTGCTGTGTGTTGTGTGTGTGTGTGTGTGAAGGCTGTGTTTCAGTGTTAGCGCTCACAGCGGTAGCGGCTCGTACCTGTGCTGTATGTGTTGTGTGTGTGTGTGTGTGTGTGGGTGAAGGCTGTGTTTCAGTGTTAGCGCTCACAGCAGTAGCGGCTCGTACCTGTGCTGTGTGTGTTGTGTGTGTGAGTGAAGGCTGTGCTTCAGTGTTAGCGCTCACAGCAGTAGCGGCTCGTACCTGTGCTGTGTGTGTTGTGTGTGTGAGTGAAGGCTGTGCTTCAGTGTTAGCGCTCACAGCAGTAGCGGCTCGTACCTGTGCTGTGTGTTGTGTGTGTGTGTGTGAAGGCTGTGTTTCAGTGTTAGCGCTCACAGCGGTAGCGGCTCGTACCTGTGCTGTGTGTGTTGTGTGTGTGTGTGTGTGTGTGGGTGAAGGCTGTGTTTCAGTGTTAGCGCTCACAGCAGTAGCGGCTCGTACCTGTGCTGTGTGTTGTGTGTGTGTGTGTGAAGGCTGTGTTTCAGTGTTAGCGCTCACAGCGGTAGCGGCTCGTACCTGTGCTGTGTGTGTTGCTGTGCACCGGCGCTGCGCTCTGCTCCGGCTGCTTGTACGCCGTCTGAAGTCTGGAGTCCACATCTTTAAAACACTCTCTCAGGGAGTTCTCCTGATAGTACTGCACCAGCTCCTGCCACACACACACACACACACACACACACTGCCCTCATCAACACAAATGATCAACTCAACATTACAAACCTGTGTGACCCGCTACACCGAGAACCATAACTATAATTATAAAGTTATTTCATCTTTCTAACAGAATAGCAAAGTCCACACCACAACTATTACAATAACTGTAAGGATAACTGTAAAAATAACTAATAATAACTGTAACGGTAACAATAATGGTAATAATAACTGTAACGGTAACAAGAACTGTAGCGAAAACAATAACTATCAATAACGGTAACAAGAACAATCGTTAATGGTAATGTAACAATAACTGTAACGGTAACAATAGCGGTAATAATCAGTGTAACGGTAACAATAACGGTAACGGTAACAATAACTGTAGCGGAAACAATAACTATCAATAACGGTAACAAGAACTGTAGCGGAAACAATAACTATCAATAACGGTAACAAGAACTGTAGCGGAAACAATAACTATCAATAACGGTAACAAGAACTGTAGCGGAAACAATAACTATCA